ATTACGAAGTATGTAACTTAACCTGGGTCGCTCATTTGTCAATAATATGAATTTAAAACTTAGTTCAACATTTATTCTTTAAAAACGATCGCCATTTAGTTCTACTTTCAAGGATGACAAAAGATACATTCAAGAAAATCAAATTCAATAGCAAATGACAGTGAACGAAAATCAAGCGGATGAGCCTACTGAAAAAACAATGGACAGACTGTATATGACCTAATAAATGGTACACATGAGCTAAAGAGGAAATACTGCTGTTCTATTCATCTCAAGGGCCCATAATCATTAGCTCAAACCTTTTGCTAACAAGTAAATTTCTAGTATTGACGATTTGGTACATACCTAAAAATTGAAACAAAACAGTAGGGAACATTAGGTTTGAAAAATGTTGCTAACAAATTATACACTAGAATATGGCTCTTTGATACGATCTTATTTCTTCGGTTCACTCAGCAAAAATATCATACTCAATCTGCCTGATGCTTTAAATCGCAATGCAAATATGGCCATAAATGTAACGTGGTTTATAACTTAGAGCAAACCGCGCTTAACACAGCTATGAATAGCAAACCTTTAAAGACACTTGAACAGTAGCATCTTTAAAGACATCTGCAATATTCAGGGTGTTAGAGAAAAAGCCAGTTTGACAAACTCCCTGACACGTATAACTAAAATGCGGTTCGGCCCACACAAGCATATAAACGAAAGTCTGACATTCTGAGTTAAAGCCGCCAAAATTCGAAAACGCTACACATACATAACGTGCTAATCGCAGTTTAAGAAATTTCTGTGAATGAACAAATTTGCGAATAAACACAAGTTCATGCGGATTTTGCATGGCGAAAAGAACCAAACACGACTATAACAAATAAATTAATAACTGGAACGGAACCGAGTATCGACTAATTTTCAGTCTACTTCAAGCGGTTCATTTCATGAAATCAGCAACGATTTTGTGAGGCAGATCCTTGTGGTTGAAGAAGATTGCGGGAAGCAACTGAAAATTCCGTTGTCTGCATTTCGTTACCGCAAATTTTTTCCATCGAATGAAAACTTCAACGCCATCAAAAACATTTAAAGTCTTCTATATGGCTCCCTCACCATTATTTGCTCATCCGTTTCCATGACTTTTAAAACAGATTTTCTCATTGAATTTCAGACAAAACGAGAAACATCGAATTACATCATCGACTTTTCACCTGTTAAAAAATACTTGCTTCTTAGTTAATAAACTTAATTTTAACTAAACAGCTTACACAGTACTTCACCACACAGTCGACATCCATCCTGACATTAAATATAAATGCAACATCGCTTCGTTCGCGGTTGTAGCTGGTAAATTCGTTTAATTTGTTTCTTTAGAACTTGTCTGATATATCATAATTTGCATTATTACGTCCAACAAAACCGCAAGTGCAAATCATAGAATGAGCAATAGCGAACAGTAGTCAGAAATATTTATCACTGAATATGTCTAAAATAATTAAACGCATAAACATATATTTATGAGCATCGCCAATTTCATTGGATGGGAATACGTCAGCAATTATGTCAGTAAGGCTTGGAGGATTGCTCAAATTGTACGCTTTCATCGTTCAACCCATTTCTCGGGTGCCATCATCAAAATCTAATGCAGCGATCAACTCGTCAAATCCATATACGAACCAAGGTGATTTTTTCAAAACTAAAGAGCGAACCTAAACAATCATATAAAAAGAATGGGAAGCGAAGCATTTTATATAGTCCTACGACGTTGCCACCGAATCCGATGAAACCGTCTGCTGGAGGACATGCGTCAAGATCGTTTGAGCCGTCACCGATCATTATTAGCCGTTTGTAACGGAATCGTGACTTGAGCAAACTGAGAACCAACTTCTTGCCATTATCCAACGAAGTCAAACGACGGTGGTCGATGCCAATGTAGCGGCCTGCAAAGCATAAGACTATTATTATAATTATCGTTAAGTAAATCATATCTATTTCACACATGTACAACTATATGCCAAGGTGAAAGGAGAGGAAAGTTTCGGCAAGGTCATCACTGTTCGTGCTATCACAAACTGGTGGTCAGGGCCGCCGAACTGTAGAACATCAAAATTAGTCCAGGCGATTTTCTAAAGATCAAAGAAGTCAGCAGATTGAACCAGCAGCTTCAATCTTCCCTAAACTTTAAAAAATCTATCAACCGGCCAAACTTTTCGCAATAAGCATATTTAGACATGCTTCCTATTCAAACGTGTCTAAAGAAGGAAAGCATAGCGCTTTCTTGTTTTTCTGCGCGTTGCGCTATGCAGATAAACGGAGAGAAAGCGGAGCAGGTGGATGAGTCAAGTACCTCGGGGTCATGTTTAATGGTGATGGAAAACGGAAGAGATCTGACGGCGAACCGAAACGGCTAGCGGCATTTTGCGTGATAGCCGAATCATTGGGACTAAAGTAGATCTGAACCTAACGACTAACATATCGGTGTTCAAATCGACCTTCAACTGGATGTCCACCAACGATCATAAGTTGTGGGTCATGACTGAAAAATTTCGATCCCGCTTACAAGCGGCTGAAAGAGGCTTTCTGAGACGAATCACTGGGCTTGTTATGATCCAGAGCACGGACATCCGAGAAAGCCTTGGTATAGAGATGATGGCTCTGGAATTCATAGCTGGAATGGTTTGGCACCTGTTGCTAATGCATTTTGAAAGGAAGGCTCAACAGCTACTACTCATAAAAAGAACACTGGCCGACGACCTGAGAGACGAGCTAAAATAACCTGGGCAACGAGAACGTTGGAGACACTGTCTGAAGCGTCTACCACGGCGACCCAAACGAAAAAGCGGTCATCAAAATGGACTGTCTGACCGCCTACCGATACCATAACGTATATCTCAAAAATCCTTCAGGACACGATTCTCGTAAATCTCATTAAATCTGGCTCAAAGTGTAGACCAGCCTGCTGTAAATGCGTAAACAGCAAAAGTACGGACAAACCAATAGGTGAATTAACTCTTAGCCCACGGTAACGGAAAGCG